TATTCCAATATGTGTATGGATGCGTCGCCATCTGGTGGTGATACACAACACTTCATCAACACTTCAAGATTTGATGATTTCTACATTATTACTGTGAACTGTGATTTATTATAAATCAATTATTCCCAACCAAAATTCTGCCTTACTTTTTTGGTGAAAGCTAAGTGGTAAAGTCAGAAAAATGATTAGCAAGTAAACTATTGTTTATTTAGAAGATAAGGGAAGGCATAGAGAAGCAATTTTAAAACTTTAGAACACAATCTTACATTGTTGTGAACAGTAAAGTAGCCTATTTGCACTCTTGGTGGTAGGGGCAGTAAAAATGCATTCAACAACACATCATAACACAGAACACTTCAGCTTGTGAACATGGAGATAAAAAAAACAACCCTGTTCATATGAGTTAAAAGACAACTATGAAACTGTGTTAATGTAATGAACAACTAGCCCCAAAAATGATTTTCAAACAGAACCACCTAAAATCCTAAAAGGCAAATAAGTAGACATAATGACAACAGATAGACACAATGGCAAATGACTTAGGTTAAAGCTGGGGTACGCAATTTATTTCAGAAGCATTTTTGTTAAATTTGTTCTTTCATTCTCTTCACAACCCGACAGCAATAAATAAATGCTCCGACACAAAAAGAAAAGAATCTGGTATCTGTGGCTGTTGCAGGACTGTAACAAGCCCGACCATTTCATTTGGTATTTCAGTATCCCATTTTCCCATCTTTTTGTGTCTATGTAATTAATTCGGACAACATTTTTTGAAATTAGTCTAGTATTGAGCAAGTGCGCTGCATCATAATCCTTGCGGTCAATTGCGCTCCGTCAAAGTGTGTCCACTAAAGTGTTTGTTTTTGCCGCTGACAGGCTCAAGTGTCTGACAACATTATGGAAAGGATCTCTACAGAGATAGACCTTTTTAGACAGTAGAAGGTAAGATCCTTATTGTTTAACCAGAAACAGTCGCTATATCGCTCTTGTTAAAGCCACCAGACTCCCGTAACAAAAATGGTAATTTTACCTCTCTGGTCTACTGCTGCCTTGATCCATGTAAAAACAAAAAACTCACACAATGACTAAAAACTAACCGACGGAGGAAGACGTAGACCAGCAACTCCTTGAAAAAAATGTTGTCCCAATTAGTCATGTATAAACAAAAAATGGTTAAAAAATACCAAAGTTACCCTTTATGTCACCAATAAAATCATGTCTGCCCCAACAGCAAACACACAGGAAGGTAGTAGGTAGGCGGAGTCATTCCCATACACTATACATCTGCACATGTAAGGATTATAAAGAAAACTCAAGGAGCTTTACAAAATCATCAATTATGCAGGCTATGTTCAAACTGGATGGCTTCAATTGCGAAGAACATCTCATTTTTAAATGCCTGTATAACTAATTCCAGTGTTAGCGTCCCAATTTGGTTGCTTTGTAGTTGCATAGCTGTAAATGTGATACTGCAACTCATGTCAACATCAATTAGAAAACATCTGATTGTTCACATTAGAGGGAGACAGAAAAGGAAAAAAGCAGAACAGAGACACTTTTAACTGTAGTGTCACATTTGGCCTTTGACCTCTGATAGTCTTGTCTGTAACACTACTCCTTTTTCACTTGCTCTCTGTCCTTGCTCTTGTCCCGCAGTACACGGCCCATATTATAAAATTCTAAATTTGGCCTCATGTCTGTGAGGTGGGCGAGACGGTTAGACATGGCAAAGAAAGCAGCAATGGCAGCGATGTCCCAGGCATCCTCACGGTCAAAGCCCACTTCCTCCAAAGACCGGAAATGCTCCTCTGTGATGGTGTCGCAGCGACACACAGACATCGCAAAGTCCAGCATGGCGCGCTCTCGGGACGACAGCTCTGCATTCTCATAGTTTACAATGACCTGGATGAAAGTAGGAGGCAGCGGGAAGTGTATGTGATTTAGTATTACATTTTTTTGAATCACAAAAAAAGGTTTTGCTGTGATTGTTTCATAGTAATTTAGAAATAAACTATAACATACAAAGTCATTAATGCATCTTCCAAAACAACATGATACAGAAAATATTTCTGAGATCTGATTTCTGACTTCTGTTGTTGTAATTGTGTATTGTAATAAGCAAAGCAGAGGTAAGTAGTGAAAATTAGCTAAAGATGATACCTGATCGGAAAGAGTGGGTTTCTTTGAGTAGATGCGGTGCAGTGCACTGTGGGAAACCACACAGTAAAGACACTTGTTGTGGATACTGGTAGCCACCACAATCAGCTCCCGGTCTGCCTTGGTTAATCTGCCTGGAAGACATTTAGATATTGAATTAATGTGAAATTGAGAAAGACATAACACACGTTCACAAAATAACAATAAAACAAACAGTACATAGCATCAGAGCTGGCTGTGGCCTAATCACACTATGCTGTTGTTTACTGCCTCTATCACTATGAATACATCAACCATATTCCACTTCCTGAGATGTGCTGTCACAGCAAGCTTGCTGTGTTTACTTAGAAGTAGAAAGTTTGACAAGCTTTCTCAAACCCAGTGTGACCAATAAGTAAGGCTGGAACAGGTTTTTCTACATCGGTCCATGTTCCAGTACGGTCAGGTTAAGGTTTTGGTCAATAGAGTTATAAAGATAAACGAGTAAACCTGCTTCTTGGAACAGGGAGTCGCCTCAATACCAAAAGCACCTGTAAAATCTCGTGCAAAGTAAGCTTATAATGTTCAGTAGAGACTGTATGAGAAAGTTTTGATTAAGTTCTTTGACACTTCTAAGGTTGTAGCGTGTGGTTTTATTGTTCAGGACAGACTTTTATTGTAAGCTCTAAGTCAAAATGCTCAGAGGTGGAATGCCTCACACTAAGATGGCTTAACACAAAATCCCAGATTGTGGTTATCCAATAACCCACACACAGACTGCACCGCTGAGACATCGTTTGGTCAGGTGAAGTCAAATATTGGTAATCTGAAACGCGTTTTTTTATTATTAATTGAAGTGTAAAACCCGATAAAAGGCACCAACAAAAAATCCTAATACCTAATGTGTTCTGCAGATCTCTTGTTACAAAGACTACTTCAGTTTCATTATGGCCCTGTCACAATGATGACCAGATCTCAGCCTATCTGCAAACATTGTTCCCAACTTGGTGTCTTTGCCGCTAAATTTGGCAACTTTATTCAAACCAAGAGCCAGTGGAAACATCAACAGTCAGCAGTTCTCCCTGCTTGTTAACGCTGTGGCTGTCTGGGTTAATATCTACTGTATGTTTAGTGAAGAGAAGACACATTCAGGCGACCGCTGTGCAGCCAGACTGAAACATGAATGTGTTGGCCAGTGAAAAACACAGCTGTGTAAAGTCACACATAGGTGCAACGCTAGAAAATAACTCTCCAACCGCAGCTAAAAATCTCATCTAAATGATGCATGCAGTGCCAAAGTTGCCTGAAAGCTACAGATCAAGTCAGAGACAAGATGTAGCGTCATTGAATCTGTTTGTCTGATCACTTTTCCACTCGAACACTGGGGTGCACACCAACACTCACAGTACCGTTAAAAGGCCAGTGTGTATCGGATGGGTGTGGCTTCCACTCCACACATTTTCAGTACAAAAAACAATGCTGCTCATGCTGGACTGAGTGACAGCTTGTCTATTTTAGTTTCCCTGATTGATGTTTACCTGTTTACACCTGACCATATTTACCACTACATCACTGTTTGATCTCCAGCTGCTCCAGCTGCTACTGAAATGCAACTACAAATAACATCTTGGCATATTCAAGTGGTGGATGATGTGTCGTCTGAGCTTGCCACTGACAAGAGGTGCAGAATGAGGCGTAAAGTGTAAATGATTTATCTGGCCCATAGTCGTATAGGGATCCTGGAATATGCCAGGAATGAGAGGTTTCAGGTGTGCAAGCGCTGTCCCCAGGATGCCTACAATTTCTAGCACTGGCCCTAAGAAAAACTTACATTTACTGCCACTACAGATACACATAACAAAAACACACCTGTCTCTTTGTTCATTAGTTCATTGTAGTAAGCGAAGAAAGCTCTGAACTCTGCTGGTCTGTGAGAGAGGACTTTGAAGACATTGGGCAAAAAGCCCCCCTGTAAGGAAACATAAAGTTTAGCAGGCAGTAAAATAAAACGAGACAACGTTTATGTGTAGCACAGTTAAATGCCTGAAATGTTAAGATAGCTTTTTTAATTTACCTTTGACTCAACTTCCTCCATAAGCTCCACTATATCATAAGGAAGGTCCTTCATGTAAGGTATGGGATAGCGGCTGATGTTATCCGGTGGCGGATCGCTGGAGAAACGTCTGGTCCACCCCGCCGCCGCCGTCGCCCTCTCCCGAAACACGCAGCCCGAGCGGAGAGACGCCTGGCCGGAGGACAGGAGAGTCACATGAGTCAGATACAGCAATAAAAATAGGACAAAGCAGAAAAGTATTCGACAACAACTTACAAGCTTCGTGAACACAGGTGGACGAAATATCTTTGAGACGAGGTTACTCGCCATGTCTGTCAGCTGGAGAGAAATAGCCTGGAAAGTGCAGGAGAGCAGCCGGGAGGGAGTGTCAGCACCAGCAATCAGCGTGGATAGTTTCCAGTCTTCTCAGAATAATTAAGGAAGTCGGGCAAATGGCTTGTGTGGCGGCGACTTTACTTACTCCTGCTGATTTCGTCCAATTAAAACACGTTATTTATAAGTATTTCCATCTTTCAGTCACCCGTCCTTCTTGTTCAGTTACTGTTAACCTAGATGTGTGGTGGGCTATATTAGAATCCTATGTAGGCTATCATTGTATATTGTTATAATCGTGGCAGCGTATGTCAGATGTCAACAGTCCAGACAGACGACCCAATCAGAATGCGGTATTGAGTCACGCCTACTGTCTGTCCCCGCCCTCCTGCACTGCCCCTCCTCACCGCCAGGGGTCAGGCTTGTGTGTGGAGTGGTTTCCTTTGGGGCGTTTCTTATGCCTGTATTTTATGTAGCCAATACGCCCTACTGATAAATTGTTTGATATACGTACAGATATATAGGATTAAGGATATGGTTTGGGCTAGTGTTTCCCAATATTAACTAAAGACTGTATTTATTCCGTCGTCAGTGGACCGTGCGCTCCCTGACAGACACTAACGTTACCCAGGTCAACAAAAGTCTTAACGTTACCAGGGAGTCCGTGCCCCGGAAAGGATTCAGCAACAGGCTTTCATTCATGCGAAAGACGTTTTGGATAATTTATCAAAACTATAACATTAATCGAGTACAGATTGAACATTAAAACAGAAATGTTTTATCATGTAAGTACGTGTATTATTTTCCGTGTTTGAGCCGGTTAACAGCTGTGTGTGGATGTTTTGTTTATCAATGTGTGCCTAGCATGACTGTAGCGTCGTTAGCATAGCTATCATAGATATACAAAACTTTTACAAGTCCTCACCCCTAAACCAAATACGTCCAAATCCTCACCGCACTGATTAGTGTCGTTGTTCTATACCAATAATGAAATGACCAGATGCACTAAGGCAGCACCAGTTGTCTTATAATGCAACCATTCTGTGTGTTTTCAGATTTCGTTGGAGCATGAGATCTTACTACACCCGAGGTATTTTGGTCCTAACCTCTCAACACTGTGAAGCAGAAGCTTTTCACAGAAGTGGAGGGCACCTGCACTGGCAAGTGAGTGGCTGCAACACTCAATTATATGCACATACATCAGCGAAGTTGTTGTTTTTGCTCTTAGCGTTGCTACCATACAGTCTGTGAATGTTACTGAGGCTGATTTGACTGGAAAGTTAAGTTAACCTGCTATTTCTGTGACATGTTAGATGTGTTCGGTTGGATCAGAACCTTAAGCTAACAGACGCGCATGGACACAGTTTTGGGGGAAGAGGCAGAAATAAACAAATGGGCACCTCGCTCTCCTTCATAGGGGATAAACTCAATGAGTCAAATGTCTGCTATGATTTGCCTAAGGATTGTCTGTGCTATTTTAGAACTTGTTTTGTATGTTTAATGATTTGGAAAATGTAAGTTTAACATTTGAAGTTTGAATCGTTTAGACACGTGCCTCTGAAAAATGGTTCTTACAACTGTGAGCTTTGACTTAGCAATATCAAAAACTTATGGCAACAGGGCCAGTATTTGTTTTGCCCTTTAAGTCATCATGACCCTATGAACGTGCATAACAAAGTTATTCATTTGGCATTCATATCCCTGCAGGGAAAAGCTTGACATATACATGTTATTTATTTATTCATGTCTCTCCTTCAGGTACGGGTTTGTCATTGCAGTCACCACCATTGACAACATCGGGGCAGGTGTAATCCAGCCAGGGAGAGGGTTCGTCCTCTATCCAGTCAAGTACAAGGCCATTGTGTTCCGCCCATTTAAAGGGGAAGTGGTGGATGCCGTGGTCACGCAGGTTAACAAGGTGAGAGACAATACGGTGCAGGTTTACTGGCCACTGTGCAGACTTTGCTGGAACATCATTCATAAATGATGAGGACATATGAAGTCTGATGTATTAAGTATCTGTGTGGTCTATCTCCAAAGCTCGCCACTGGTGTTGTTCTCTGGATGAAACTGTAATACATCATCTTGACACTGCACTGCTTGCTAACATTTAAAAAAATATATACCTGTATTTTTAATTGGCTCATGCCAGAGGCTAATAAAAATTCTGTCCTGTAGAAGTGCTTAACTTTCCACTCTTCCAGCAAGGTGTTTATGCCTCTGTAGTGGCTGATGTGTAAAATATGATGTGATGGATAACTGATCATTGAAAGCTTTCTTTTTGTGCCTTATCTAAATTATATTTTTCTCTGTTTCTTGCAGGTTGGATTGTTCACAGAAATTGGTCCCATGTCTTGCTTCATTTCTCGCCATGTGAGTCAGCTTAACATCTATAGTTGACTGAATTGATAGGCTTTAATATGCTTTTCGATTTCATGTTATTTTTATCTCTTGCAGTCCATCCCCTCAGAAATGGAGTTTGACCCCAACTCTAATCCTCCTTGTTACAAGACAGTTGATGAGGTGAGAATATTAATTGTTATTATTTATTATCACCATGCAGGTAAAAAAACAAAAACACACAACACTATTACACGAAAGTCATCTCTTGCATTTCCTTTGACTACGCAACTATAGTTACACTTGTGTATTAAAAAGCTATTTTTCAGTAAAATTTAAGAAAGGAAAAGTGGAACATTAAGTATAATGTCATAAATGCTGTATGCAAAATAGTTGTAATGCTGTCATTATATTGTTACTATTGAATTTAAGGATGTTTTCTTCTCATATTTTCAAGGACATTGTAATCCAGCAAGATGATGAGATTCGGCTGAAGATTGTGGGAACAAGAGTGGACAAGAATGACATTGTAAGTGTTTTCTTTTCCTTTCTTTTTTTAAAAATAAGGACCATATATTTCACCTAACCATAGGCAAAAATAACACAATAGTTTATGGAAGTGACTGTTTCCCCTTGTTTTTCAGTTCGCCATTGGATCTCTCATGGATGATTATCTGGGTGAGTATATAACACACGTCATTGTCATAAAGGTTGTAGATCTGTTTGTTAGAGGGGCATGAACATCATGAAATGCCTTACATAGATTCATTTAATGTTAATGTGGTTTAGTGTTTGACACAACAGTTTTTTTTTTATTGCTTCAATTTGGTTGCTGTCCAATGGAACAATTTTAGTTGAACTGTCTGCGTATGACCTGAGAATTTGTTTTTTCTGTGTTGGGATTGATCGTTGAACTTTCATTTCCAGGTCTTGTGAGCTGATACGCCCCAGTTGGAGCACATTTCTTATGGGACATTTTATGTTGTAGCTTAGTTATTCCTTTTGTTAAAATCTAATATTTTACTACACTTATTGACAAGGCATAGTTACAGGTGGTGAAGCCCCATAGCTACATCGTTTCATTATCATGCTGTACAGCCTACATTTGTAGGTTTTATTGGAGCAGGTGTAAGATTGAAATGTTGTAGCCAGGAGAATGTTTGCTAAATTGATAGCAAGATGGCATACAATGCAAAAGTTGCCCATATTATGAATTTACAGTTTATTTTGTGTACAATTTATCATTCCCATTTTAACAATGTTTTTTTTGTACGTGGCCTGTAATAAAGTTTTTTTAAAATGATTATTTGTTATTATATCTTTGTATCCCTCTCTGTGTTTAAAATGTTAATATCTTGTCAGAGCATTGATTTTTCTTAATGCGCAAAGAGACTTGTTGCGCAGCTGTAAATGTGGCAAGGCTTTTGCAGTGGCAAACAAAAGCTGGGGCGACACGTGAACGCGGACTTTAAAAGTACGCGCACGTTTCGTGGACGTAAATACGTCAGTGGAGCGCGCCCTCGTTCTTTCTTTCTCTCGTCCTGAAGATGGCGGCAGGGGTGAGTAAGATGGAGAGGTGACCGGTTATAGTGCTTTCTTTAAACTTTTCTGACACAATCCGCCGAAAATCAAGCCCATCGGCACTTTTACTGAGCATCTTTGCTCATAAACAATGCCGTAGATGTGTTAGGTAGCTGTTGCAGCGTTTATTTACAAAGAATTTCATTCAGTCTTCATTCTAACTGAGGTTAGCTGCTGCTATCCTGACGTAGCATCTACCCCAAATGACGCCCCTTTCCTGGCCCAGGCTTGTGCCACGTTACATTTGCTGTTTTGAAGCTTTGAAAACTTGCTGTTGATTTTATAACGTTAGACGTGTTCACGTTGGCACGTATGTCCAGTTTGCGTATTCCTAATGCCAACCCGTATTTGACTTAATTGAAGGTATGCAAACGAAGACTATCGGGTTAACTTATATTGCTGGTAATGAGCGCTAGCATTGGTTAGCATTTAAAGCAAGCTAAAAGCCACGTGAATATTAAAAAAAAAATAATAAAAATTAAAAAAAATTGGTTGTAGTTGTTAACAAGGTACATTTGGCCTTGGAAAGTTAGCTGGCAGTTTTTATGTCAACAGCGTCACCCTGGTCCTTGTGCTTCCCTGACCATTTGAAATGGTTGAGCATCCTGATTTGGATGGCATCATTAATTTGTGTCAAAAACACAAGACCTACCAACTTGCTTCACTTTATCAGTATTTGTGGGTTTTTTTGTCTTAAACTGTCTTTTTATAGACGTTTCTTACTGGATTTTAAAGTTAAAAGCAATGCAGTTAAAGATTTTACCTCTAAATGGCCACAAGACCAGCTTTATGTTCACTCACCTTTTATGCTAACCTAACACAAATGTAATGCTTGTTCTTTCAAATTAGATTGAAGATGTTTGTCCAATAATTAGTGTCACCTTTCTTTCCAGACTCTGTACACGTACCCAGAGAACTGGCGGGCCTTCAAGGCCCAGATTGCAGCCCAGTATAGTGGGGCTCACCTCAAAGTTGCCAGCAACTCCCCTGCCTTCACCTTCGGGCAGACGAACCGTACTCCTGCCTTCCTCAACAACTTCCCCCTGGGCAAGGTAGTGTGCAAGTGGTTGAGTTAGTTGAATGGGATTGCTCCAGTTGGTGTATTCATACTCAGCATGGAGGGCCTGTCTATTTTCAGAGTAGCTCTTGTTTCAATTTCAACAATGACTGTGGTAAATCAATTACTGCAAGGATTCATTAAATCCGTTAACCAGATAATAAATGTAATAAAGTCAAGGGCTTCAACTGATCTGACTAGACCACTGTTGTGTATTAATGGCAGTATGCATGCAACATAATAAATTATTCTTGAATTTTGCCATTGTTTGTAGGTACCCGCCTACCAGGGAGATGACGGCTTCTGTCTGTTTGAGAGTAATGCCATTGCTCACTACTGTAAGTCTCACATTTACTAACTTGATGCTTAACTTAGGTGTCTTATGCACTATCAATGTGGCTATTAATCTAAACGATCTATAGGTTACCTAAAGTCTTAAAGGGATTAGTTTATGCCACTAGGTTTAGTGGGCAGTTTCTCCATGATCACTTGATGTTTCCCATGGGTCTAGAATTTGTGGCGGAACTAGAAACTTATTAAATAAAAAACAATTAAGAGGTTTCCGATCTGTGGTGTCTGACTCTCCATGGCCCATTTAGGGCGTTCAGTGGCACTTTGAACATTGGATCGCTCATAGTGCAGTCTTTGGGTATAGTCGCCATGAAATACTTTGTCTGCTGCTCAATATTAAACAAGAGACGATGTTTTATTGGACAAGTCTCATCATTTGTGTATGGTCCCCTGTCATTGGGCAAGGCAGTGTCCAGTCATGGCACCCAGTCTTAATCTGACAGGGGAAGAGGAACTTGAGACCATATTCATCCCAGTCATCTCTGTTTTAGTGAGTAAAAGGCTGGTTCATGCTATGGGCACAAAACAGATTGAACCTCCAAGATAGGTTGCCAATCTCTATACAGAAACATAACTTCTTGAATACTTTTATTAAATATTACATTCACAGGTCACTTTTTTTTTGATATAGTAGATCACATGGCAGAAAGCTTGATTTGTTGAGAAAACATGACACGTTTTACATTGTGTGCTGGTAGGCCAAACCTGTGCTAAAGTGTATGCCGTACATGGATCCCTGCACATCTAAATGCAACAGAATTACTATGGTTATACCTGATGAACCAGTTTAATGTTCAAAATGTCTGTTGCAGTGTTAAGCAGCATTGTCAGACTTTTTAACTGTTGTGCACTTGTAACAGCTGTTCATGCATGCTTTTTGCCGTCCTTGTTACAGTCCTGCAATGCCACAGATGTCAGTTTTTTTTTGTGTCAGCATTTGATATATTGATTACTGTTAGGATGTAAAGAGAATTTGAACAAATACAATTATGTTTCTGAAATGAGTTTCCTACCCCAGCTTGAATGCCATGAAACACTTTTCCACCTTTCAACTACAGTGAGCAATGATGCCCTGCGTGGTGCCACTCCCCAGGCCGCAGCCCAGGTGCTGCAGTGGGTGAGCTTCTCTGACTCAGAGATCGTCCCTCCAGCCAGCGCATGGGTCTTCCCCACTCTGGGAATCATGCAGTTCAACAAACAGGTTTGCAGCTCAGCAGTTTCTGCCGAAGCTTGAGATTAGCTTGAGAAGTATTATTTAGAAGCTGTGGTAGAGGCCCGTGGGAGATTTAATTTGGCCAGAGTGTAACACCCTGTAGTTGAGACTTGTGTAATCCTACATTGTCGTTCTTCTTTCTGGTTCTGTGCAGGCCACAGAGCAGGCCAAGGAGGACGTGAAGAGGGTCCTCGCAGTGCTGAACCAACACCTGAACACTCGTACCTTCCTGGTGGGAGAGAGGGTCAGCCTCGCAGACATTACTGTGGCCTGCTCCATGCTCTGGCTCTACAAACAGGTATGACATACACCCAGCAGATTACAGTTAAACAAAGATGCACATTTCCATTGATAAATTACCTTTTACATTCTGTTAATTCATTTTGACACTTGCTTGTACCAACACTTGCTCTGTAATATTTGCTCTGATGCCTCTGCCCCCTGTAGGTCCTTGAGCCGTCTTTCCGTCAGCCTTACACCAACGTCACTCGCTGGTTTGTCACCTGTGTCAACCAGCCAGAGTTCAAGGCTGTCCTTGGAGAGGTCAAGCTGTGTGAAAAGATGGCCCAGTTTGATGGTGAGTCACCAGCAATCAGATCAGAAGGCGCACACATTGAGCATGACGATGGCTGCCCGAGCATACCATGTAATTTAAAGGATGAAATTAGATTAAATTCCTAATTGTTCATTCTGAAGTGACTAAAACATGTAATAAAATAGCTGTGCAACATTTTACCCTAAAGGTCAAACTTTGTATTCTGTGTGCCCTAAATTGTTTAAACAAAGGCTTATGCTGCTGCTGCTTTCTCTGGCTGGCTTGGACATAAGTCCAGAAAGGGTGTTAGGGGTATGAGCTGCCAGAGTGAATGAATGATGCAGATTGTCCCCTGTCATTGGGCAAGGCAGTGTCCAGTCATGGCACCAAGTCTTAATCTGACTGGGGAAGAGAAACTTGAGACCACATTCATCCCAGTCATCTCTGTTTCAGTGAGTTAAAGGCTGGTTCATGCTGTGGTCACATTATAAAGACTGACTTTCGGGTACATGTAGAGTAGATGTGTCCTTGATGGGACTCTACAAGTGTTTCAGTTTTAGGCCTTTTTTTCCCTTTTGGCCACATCCAGCACGAAGTGCATCATCCAGATAAACTTCTTGGACTTCAGTGAAGTCCATTTAAAACAAACATTGACAAACCTATACCAGCATTGATTTGTCATCTACGATTGATACTTTTTGTCCCAGATTAATAAAATACATGCTGTCTCATACCTCTTATACACATTAAGCACAGGGATGGCTGGTGGAGCATACCATCTAATTTAAAGGATAAAATTAGACCAAATTTGTAACTAAGCTGAAGTGACTGAAATGATTTATCAAATAGCTGCAACTCTTTGCATGTAACAAGTCGACCCTTGTCTTCATGCCATAAATTGTTTAAACAATGGCTAATGCTGCTGCTCTATCTGGCTTTTGAAAAGCCTGTGTTCTATTTAAATGTCTTCTAAAAAATAACATTTGCAGAGTTTTATTCTTAAATGTGCAGAAGATTTATGGTTGTAGCTGAAGGATTGCATCAAAAGAATTGGATGTCATTTGACAAACACAGCTATTATTTGTTAGTGTTCGAATACTTTAATTGATATTTTGAGTAACTTTCAGGGACAGAAAATTCCACCGTCAAACTTCTTGTAATATTTTACAATTCATCTCAAAAGTCCTAGCCAGTGTGTGGATCCAGAGTGGAAAACCAAAGTCAGATAATGGAACACTTAACAGAAAACATGTGTTTAATTTTTTGCTCTGTCCCTCCAGCCAAGAAGTTTGCTGAGCTGCAGCCCAAGAAAGAAACTCCTCCTAAGAAAGAGAAGGGAGGAAAAGAGGCAGCCAAGCCCCAGGAAAAGAAGAAAAAGGAAGACAAAAAGGAGGAGAAAAAGCCCGCTCCAGAAGAGGAGATGGATGATTGTGATGCGGTTTTGGCTGCTGAGCCCAAAGCCAAGGACCCCTTTGCACACCTGCCAAAGAGGTAGGAGCTTTTGCTTTCCTTGTCTAAAGTGTTTTGGTATGAATTTTATTTAAAAATTTTAGATAACAACTTATAGGTTTCTCAGTTAGCAATGGCAAACAATGTGCCATGGAGAGAGACTGCAGGTTTTTATTCCAGCTGATCACCATAGCAGACTATTCACCGAGTACTTCCCCTCTACTTGAAAGGAGTGCTAATCAGTGGGTGGAGGCGGTTGACTCACTGTGGTGCATTTGGAGCAGTCAATTGTATTATGAACATTCAATCGCTGGCGCGTGAGAGAAGGTTTTGGGTAGTCATTCATGTGTATAGCTGCCATAAAATACTTGGACTGCAGCGTAATTGACATTAAACAAGTTACCCAAGAGATGATGTTTTATTGGATGATAGTGTCATCTCAGGAGTTGGTAGATGGTCCCCTGTCATTGGGCAAGGCAGTGTCCAGTCATGGCACCCAGTCTTAATCTGACAGGGGAAGAGGATCTTGAGACCATATTCATCCCAGTCATCTCTGTTTCAGTGAGTAAAAGGCTGGTTCATGCTGTGGGCACAAACTTTATTCAAAATCTAAAACTTACTTGAAGTCCCTACCATTTTTCAAATTAGAAAAAAAGGCAGGCATAAGACTATTGTGCCAGGCTAATAAAGAGTCTAGAGAGAATTACACCAAACAAGTAACTAATCAAGTCCTTTGTGACATTTACCTCATTTCCAAACTTTTTCTCCACCCCGCATTTACAGACAGATGACCTGATTTTCTTTTTCTTTTCAAGCCCATTTGTCATGGATGAGTTCAAGAGAAAGTATTCCAACGAGGACACCATGAAAGTAGCCCTTCCCCACTTCTGGGAGCACTTCGACCGAGAGGGTTACTCAATCTGGTACTGCCAGTACAAATACCCTGAGGAGCTTACACTTACCTTCAAGAGCTGCAACCTTATCACAGGTGAGACTCGACAGCTGCCACATGACCCAGCAACTTGAACTAAAGTGAATGACTTCAGGGATTGTATAGTGAAGGCACATTTATGAACTTTCAGTTCTATTTACCTGAAGCAATGTGGTAGCTTGGACATAAGTCCAGAAAAGGGGTTAGGGGTATGAGCTGCCAGAGTGAATGAATGATGCAGATGGTCCCCTGTCATTGGGCAAGGCAGTGTCCAGTCATGGCACCAAGTCTTAATCTGACTGGGGAAGAGAAACTTGAGACCACATTCATCCCAGTCATCTCTGTTTTAGTGAGTTAAAGGCTGGTTCATGCTGTGGTCACATTATAAAGACTGACTTTTTTTTTTTTTTTTTTAACTTCTTGAAGTCCAGTGTTAAGTAATGTCCATTTATAACACACTGATGACAAACCTGTGACGGCATTGGTTTTATTCTTAGGTTTTGTCTCTGATGGATGAAATATACGTGGTGTCAAACCTCCATGTTCTTCACAGGTATGTTCCAGCGCCTGGACAAACTCAGAAAGAATGCCTTCGCCAGTGTCATCTTGTTTGGCACCAACAATGACAGCAGCATCTCTGGCATCTGGGTCTTCAGAGGCCAGGACCTGGCCTTCACTGTAAGTATTTAAATGGGTAGATACTTTACACAATATCCTGGTTTGATAGCATCCCCACCCCCAACCTGACTAATTTATTTGAGCAGTCATTCATTTGTATAGTCACTGTGAAATAATGGAGTGTAGCTTAACATTGAACAAGTTTACCGAGCGACAAATTGGACGATGGTCTCATCTCTGGGTTAGTGGACGGTAGTCCCCTGTCATTGGGCAAGGCAGTGTCCCGTCATGGCACCCAGTCTTAATCTGACAGGGGAAGAGAACTTGAGACCACATTCATCCCAGTCATCTCTGTTTCAGTGAGTAAAAGGCTGGTTCATGCTGTGGGCACAAACAACATGTTAACCCTAGGCTGTTTAATTTTCCTTTGACATTTCACCGGGGTGTACAATATGACCTGTATTTGAAGGATGGGAGAAAAGTCACAAAAGCATGTGTCTTTTTTTTTTTTTTTTTTTCTTCTTTTTCTTAACATGCACAGCTTTTCTACCCTTTGGGCTATACATTGTGACTAGTGAGATGTATGCACACGGACCACCACGGGAGATAAAAGTTTGGTACTGCTTAAGCCTAGCTCAAGATCTAAGATACTTAAAATATTTGTTGGGTTATAGGTATCTGCATTGCTATGGTTTGGGTTTTTTGTCACTGGCTAAATTACACTGCAGTTAAAAATTAAACAAGTTGTGTGAATGTGAGTAAATGAGTCATGAGTAAATGTCTTAAATTTGACTGTCTTTAGATTGTTGCATACACTGCACAGCTTTCATGATCCACATTTCAATGCGCTCTATGTGATGGTCCAAGTATTCCCTACTGGATTAGCTGGCACATAATTTGTCATCTGATGGTCTCTTGTGGTGGCACATTTCATCAAAACCCCAAGGACCTTGCACTCATTCAAATAACTTTTATTCCCATCCTAGCTGTCTCCAGACTGGCAGATCGACTATGAATCATATGACTGGCGCAAGCTGGATGTTGACAGCGAGGAGTGCAAGACCATGGTAAAGGAGTACTTTGCCTGGGAGGGAGACTTCAAGCATGTGGGTAAAGCCTTCAACCAGGGCAAGATCTTCAAGTGAGAGGACACTGGAACAGTCTGGATGAAAGCACTGCGCTTCTGCTCTCCAGCACTTAAAACCTATGGACTTTCAGCCACAACGTGCTTACTTTCCTGCAAGAATGAGTGTTTTGAAGACAAGTGAATTTTGTCTGTGGCCCCAAACTGGTTTTTTGTTTTGACCTGCGAAATAAAGCATTTTCCACGATGCCATCTATGGGATTTGATGTCTGTGGTGACTTCAGTCTGGTTTGTGTTCATTTAGTTTAGTTCAAGTTGTTTTGAGAGTACAACCCATGTAGAAATGTATTTAACTTCCTACATAAACATAACACTCATTTGGTGTACACAATGATCAATAAACAGATCAGCGGAGCAATGTAACTGCAGTTGAAACTCGACGTCCAGTCAAAAGTAGAAGTGAAAACCTTGCTGCAGTTGTGTACAAGTTTACGTTTGACCACACCCAATGGTGATGCTGGGTGCGGTTGGAGACGATCAGGAGATGAAATTTTCGACCCGAAGAGGTCAGGGAAGCCATGCTTTTTAGCGTGGTATCAAGTTACATTGCCACGATAAGGAGATACTTTGTGCTCTGTGTACAATGATGTTAAGACATTTAACGGGTTTCCCCACTGGGAAACACTTTGGTCTAATATTGGTCCCCAGAGGAGAAGCTGTTTATCATTGTTGCACCTGTTGAGCTGATGCTGCAGTGGTCGCTTTCCCCTGCAGAGGGCAGGCAAAGGCCTGTTATAGTCAATCTGTTGAATAGAGAGCATCCAACAAAAAGAAAATGACTGGCCTGAGCTCTGGTTTGTTCAAACTAAGCAAATGTCTGCTTTTAACTATGGGTTCTTGTTTTGATGTAGCTTGTGCTTCCCCAAGGAGAGGAAGCCTGAAAGATCTTTGTAAAGAACATCCTTTTGGATGCCTGTTAAAATGTTATCTACAATTCCAAGCTGTCATTAATATAAAATGTACTTTTTACTTTAAAGTTTTGTGGACTTTAGACACAATGTTTACTTTAGTACCTTTAAGTTAAATCCACTTACATGTTATAAATACATGAACATTGGAAATTGACATTAATGAAATGAACACATGGACACTGACACCAAACTACAAAATAATGTAAGTAGACAATGTTGGGAAAACAGTGCGGTCATCTTTAAATAAAACCACTTAAATTTTAATCTCATAGATACATGTACCTAGAGTATATTGTTAATGCGTAGTACTTGACAAAAATAAAGACAGACGGATACAAAAATGTCGTGTATGGTTTGACCACACCCTACTAAAATGCAGAAATGGCATGTTTTGGATGCTACTTCTGCAAGTTGGTATCATTACAGAAGGAAACATTTCCGTTAGGGATAGACTGTATAGTCTGCGTATCATAGATTCAGTCATTGTTTTCACATCAGAATGAATGCCTAAATAGGAATCTTAAAATGCCTCGTTTCTTTTCTAATGATTGAGGAAAATATTTCTTGAGCTTTATTGAATTATATGAATTTCTGCCTCGTTTGACTGTAACAACAAAACATTTGTTTAATTCAGACACACCCAAACATATAAAAGTTTGTATAGCACTTCTGATAGTTTTGTTGACAGTTACCACACCTGCAGTCTGGCTTATCCTTAAACTTCCGCTATAACTGAGTTCTTTGTTTGGTGCTTCATTGTGTGTTTCATCGCTGCAGGTAAAATAGAACACCTGGACCAGACTATAGCCTATAATGAATTCAGTTTATATTTATACTGTGAATTCACATCACCTTTGAATGTAATTTTTGATATGTTTAGTGACGCATTTAGAACAATCAACCCTCGTTTAAAACCCTGCTACATATTTAAGTTAAGGCCTTGGGTGGATCTCTTTTTCTCTCTTACACACGCTCATGCACAGACACGAGAGATGCACAAGAAGGGACTCTCATCCCAGAGTGAGTCAGATGTTTCATTTTTTCCATCTGACTAAGCGTGATTCAGGATCATTTTGGCGCAACAATCTTCCACCATGGTGTTAAATCAAGGAGGCCATTTTAGTTTGTTCTGTGGTCTCATGGAAATCAGAAAATGGAAATGTTCCCACAACAGCGAAGCGCCCAAGTCCTTGAACGCATGACTCACCCATCCTGTGGATCGTGGTGGAAGAGCGCTGTAACCTGAGCAAATAACTTCAACTTCACCCACAGCATCAGCAGTTACAACACTGTGGATGGCTAACCCTTTGATTGCTGAAGGAGGGGTGTTAAGAAGGCCTTTTCATAATGCAATCAAATATGAAATGAATGTGAGGAGAACACAGTTTTAAGGCTCTTGAGAAAAGCTTACTATGCCGTGGCTGCAGTATGAAGTCTATACAATATCCTAGTCCTTATTTGTGTTTAGTAACTTCAGAGTTAAAAAGCTAAACAAGAACAATACACAGTCTTATGCCAACAGCAACATTTTCACTTCCAGCCCTGCCAACCTTCCTCCCCACTGGTCTTTATTTCTTTCTCGGCCACACACTCACTACTTCTTTTTCCCTTCCTCTCCTCACTCTCTGGACATTTTTCTGTCCGTGCACGAGGGGGTGGCGGCAGCGGTGGGGGTGGGGGTTATTCTTAAAAGCAGTGAGGAGTGCTGTTGAGGGAGGAACACAGAGAGAGGCTGTATTGTTTCACCACACAAGGTCCCAGTGTGGCTGTCAGACCCTCCTGTAGGAGCTTTAGGCATGGTATGCATGTGCTGAGCATCTGGTGGTGCAAGACGCGCATCTGGAAAAGAGTTAGGCGGTCGGTGGGGGTCTTGGAACAGCGAGGTGAAGAACTAACGCTAGGGTGTCCGAGGCTGAAAGCCAACCGTTTTCTCTAAAAGATCATACAGAAGTTCCTCTTCTAGGGGTAGATAGTTTAAATTAGACAGTAGAATATACACTTTTGTTATGTTGTAGTTTTCTTGAAGTTGTATTTTTTTTTCCCCCTTTAGAGAATGTAAGACCATAGGAGTGTCTCTAGGCGGACAGAAACAACAGACACCACACGTATACAGTCCCACCCTCAAGTTTTATGGGGTTTTCTTTAGACTCTAGTCTGGGGTTGGGCTGTAACCCACTAACACACACTTAAACTAGAGCAAAAGGAATGGGGGCAGGAAAATTGATTCTTAGTCAGCATGTGGGCATTACTTCACCTTGAGTGTCCTCTCTTTACATTTGAGGTACAGCCTGGGACATGTGTAAAACTGGAATTCAAGCAAAGGCAAGTAAGGAGATACACAAGTAATACATGCAAAACAGAAGAAGTGTGAAAAGGATGCGGACTTTCATTGGGGATATGCGTACCTACATCCTGGTGTGTCTTGAGAAAAGTGACCTTCGGGTTTCAACCTTGGTTCTGGAGCGAGGGGCGTTTTGTCCCAATACGTGCACTTCAAGGGGTGTGACGGCAGGGAGAGACTAAGATGCTATGATATAGTTACCGAGCAGGCATGGCTACATAACAGTGCCTGAAAGTAACATCCTGCGGGACAGTCATTGTTTAGAGAAGTGATTCTTAATTAGTTATTCCTTGAGTTTGCGTTGCCCTGCAACAGTGAGTTGCCAGTTTGAGAGTGGAGAGGAAAGTGCGTGACACGGGGGAAGAGAGGAGAGGTACAGTGGAGGGAAAACAGACAGCCCCTGCGCTTTTTGGACATGAAACCCCAGAGTTGCTTCTGGCTCATGTTACCAGAATCTGGAGGTGGGGCATCAGGAGTCATGTTGTCAAACTAAAGCAAAACTATAATATGCAATACCACAAATAAGTGTAGATATATTGAACACTCTATTGGAAAAACAAACTTGAATAAAATATAAATTAAAAATATGATACCACTAACTAATTCCCTTTCATCATCAGCAGCACTATTTGCCAATGGTATTCAACATGAGTGTTAGGAAATATTAAAATAAAAGTTAGTCATAGCCATAGTTTCACAATCACTTTGAGGTTTGGGTGTATACTGAACCTTCAATGTTCCAATTGGCCTCAGGTTATCCATTATCTTCTGATGAAACAAGTACAAGTACTTTGCAGGTATAGCCTAGGAACTAAAATCAGCACAGTTTAGAGTAACTTTCATTGTTCATTTAATAACATTTAATAAACTTTGTAAATGTTTGGTTAATAAAGAAGCAGTAAAGACCTGGATGAGCCTTGTGAACAAAGAGGTACCCCAACCCTGCTTGTGAAAGGATTGATTGCCATTTCATGTATTGACTTGCTTGTGGTTAACATCCCACCCAAGGAAAGAGTTGGAGCGTTGGAAAATTTACAGCTATGACTGGAATGTGCAGTGCAGGAAGGTGTCTGCTTGTGTTCAAGCACAGAAGGGTGGAGAGACACAGGGAGGAGAAGCTCTTGCAAAATCCTTTGTCGCTCCTTTGGATCAATAATTCCAAACAGCTGATTGGGCTAACAGTGAGTGATTGTCAGACAATTTAGAAACAATTGATCCAAAAAGTAGGCCAATCAGATAGAGTTAGTATCGGGGGAGGGGGATAAGAAACTTTGCTCTACTTTGCTACACAATGTTCCTTACTACGTTACAAACTGCTTTGTGGCATGATGTGATATTTATCCATACACACACAGGGCATTGCTATGGATACAACCCTGCAAGTACCTGCCCCCATTGCTTATTATGTTGCTATAGCAGCCATCCCAGAATAGTCTCTTTTATTTTTTCCCTTTCCGTCCCTCCCTCGTGTTCGTGACTCACAACTTGCAGTGGAAACCACAATTCAATCTGTCTCTCATTCCCCTTTTTCCCTTTACATTCTTCTTTGTACCAAAGGTCCAGCTCGCCTTTCTGAATCATCACTGTGTGTTTATGTGTGTGTGTCTGAAGGAGCACGCGCTGTGGGGAATTCCAAAACGATTACCAATGATGTGTTACTATGGTGACGGCAAATATCTGGCAAGGTGTTGCAAGATAGTGTATCTTGAGTACTGCACACTGTCATTAGCTGATTGTGATTTCTTTGTAGTTGTAACCTCTCCATGGATACACTCTGCACTCAATCGTTACTTTAGGTCTACTTTGTTTGGAGAAGTCCCAGCTTGTGGTGTGCTTACTCACAGGGCTTCAGCAGCAGGATAGTACAAAATTACATGTATAGTAACTTGTTGCAAACAATGTAACAAATGGTAAAACGTGGTAATTGAGTGAAGGGTAAACTTTGAGCTCTCTG